TATTTACCGGTAATAAGAAGAGACGTGTCGACGTTGATACAAAGCAAGGAAATTATGGGTATCTCTGGAAGATACGCCTAAGCCCAGAGTTAAGCTAGCTCTTCATCCAAATAAAGCCCTGATTTGCTTTTGATAGAACTGAAAGGCTCGTGTACACTGGAAAATGCTTCAGGACAACAAGAAAGTCAACAGGAATCGGTATATGACTCAGCTACACTGCCTGGACAGTGCTACCTAACAGAAAAGATCTTGTAGACAAGGCAGTTTTCCTCTTTAACCCTAATGTAAGGCCGCACATAATAAAAAGCGGGAGGTTCTTTTGCAGCCACAGAGTTCTCTGGGCGTCGCGCCTGTGTATCACGATTTTTTCTAATCGCTGGCATATATCAGTAATTTTACATTTACAAATGAACGGATCTTAAAACAACAACAAATCTCGACATAACTGGAGAGAAGGACTAAATAAATCAGTTGAGTGGTGGCAGAATGGAACAACCATCCCTTTCCTCGTAAAAGAAGGGTTGTTACTTATGCTTTAACTTGTTCCACAGCATAAGGAACTACGAAGGCCTGTTAAAGAAGATTCGAGGAACATACCTGATGCGGGACACTTCGTTGCTAACTAACGTTAAGTTTTGTGGAAGTTTCAATGATAATGTAGAGTGGAAGCATTGTATCCACCTTTTAAGGTACTTATTACATTATTGGCAAATCGGTCCACGGTATAGGGAGACGCGAAGATAGATTGGCAGAATTGGTTTGCCATTTGTCTCGATCACGGAATGGACCTGCTTGCTACGCAGGAAACTTCTGCCTAGGATTAGGTCCTTTCCTGCAGCGAATGGTAATTCTCCCGAAATGCATTACCTATGCGTCCATAAACGAGGCTTAAAATGTTGGACTTATTCTAAATCAAGACAAGTCTAAGTATGAAAAGATTCATTGTATCAACAGGGTCGAGAATTCTGCATTTAAGGGTACGAACGTTGGTGCATATATATTAGCTCGCTTTCAGGTAGGCATATTGTGATAAAAGTAAAATGAAGAGAGAAAAAAAAAAGAACTTCCCAGTTATAAGACTGACTTTGAAGAAAATCGTTGTATTTAACTCTTAGCCGATTTTCAATAAGATTATATACGTTCTATATTGATTCTCTAAAACGAGTAAAACTGTATAGATATTAAAGCTTCTCGCACATATGGGTCTAAATTTGTTATTTGTCAATTTCTCGTTATATATACAAGTTCTGATTCCTTTCGATGCTTTCGCCAATCTGACAACATGTCGCGAAAAATTCGCTACTTGAGCACTCTAAGAGTAGGCTGAAAGGACATCAAATGCGGGTAAATTTCGGGAGATTTTAGGCACATAAGGGCCTAAGCTTATTTCAGTACATTCTGCTGCCGTGAAAAGAGTCAAGATCTGCCAAGTGCAGCCTAGAACTTCCATCCAGAAAGCTTCCTGCATGTACAACATAAATCAGTTTTTGGACCACTGGTAGTTCTTGCATAAAGAAAACTAATACCATAGCTATTATAATAATAATCATTATTATATAAACTTTACGTTGTATATGACAAAAGTCGATTTTTCGATCTAAGCTAATGTATATATGATATATAACAGGCAGTAGATATAATAAATGACTGCTTTTAGCTTGTATACTGTAAGAGTATAAAAGCTCCAAGAACAGCTTTAGCCCTGCAGTAGCTGGTCACGAAAGCCATCGAACCACGAGATTTCGACACCAATCAGTAGTTGCCTTTTCGCCCGATTTGTATTCTACTGCGAACAGAGATCTGAGGGCGGGGCATGAAACTCGAAGGGCTCTGATTAAGTCGCTGGGAAAAACTTCTTTCGTTGTAACCATTAGTTTGAATGGTAGTACGAGGCTGTGACGTTCGTGGTGACCGGCGCTGCAGCAAAGAACGGATGCGTCTCGGCCACAAACGAGTAACCTGAAAAAGCAGAAAGGGACCACACAATTTTCGTCTGCGAGTAACCGAACGAAGTCTTCAGTTCGGATCCTAAGGACGTAAAGGTCAAGAAGGCTTCAAAACCGTACCACTACTCTGGAAAAAAGCATAAGACGCGTAGCCATAACGAAGGCGAACGTGAAGTAACAGCATTGCGGCAAATACAATGAACCGTTAAAACATTCAGCCCCAGAAAGCGCAGCAACACGTGAATGCCGCGCGAAGAATATAAATATGTCATATTTGTTTTTTTGAACAGTTTACTCTCTAGAAGAACGCGCTTTCCGAGCGAGTGAGAGTTACCCAGTGGTTATTGGGCGCGGATATTTGCTACTGTAGTATCTGTATAGAAATACTATTTTTACCGACCCAGTATAATGCTGCGCCTTTCCATAGTACTAGTTGGCGCAGAATTAGTCCGGGTTGACGGCATCTTACTTTTGCTAAGTAGTTAGACACGTGTTTAAATGATGCCCTAATTCTGTTAAGCTATAAGTCAGCCTTGTTTCCGTTGTTCGAGCTGAAGGACTCTTTGCATCTCAAGCTGGTTTATCAGTATTTTCGCAGAATTACACTGTAGATGGCTGGTGTGAATGTTACGTAAGGGCGTAGCTGTATGGTTGGTATTCACAGGGATGCTAATTAAAGATAGAGTCGTGTTTATTGCAATTGGGTCTTGTAGTTTTCTAACCATTGAGTTGACACTACGCGTCACCGTTTCGAGCCGAACTGGACGGGTGAGAAAGACGTTCTCTTATATCTATATAGGGAATGAAGTTGCCATTGTGCAGTGCGTGACATTATCCCACTGTACCCAACCCTTAATCAAGATCTTAAGGTTTGAAGTGAACACTGAAATTACAGGAAATTTTTCGGTATTCAAAAATTTCTATGATAATGCATCTCAGGCGTGCGTGAATAATGCTCATTTTAGAACCAGGATATTTACTTCGAATCAAAAGTAATACTGAGCAGGGTACATTTAAGGCCTCTTCCAAATGTATAACAGTAGGATTTAAAACAGCAGCCAGATTGAAGGCTATACAAACCACTTTTACAGTTTCTTGGGCTCAATGTTGATAAAGTCAGTACAGTGTAGATATATGTTGAAGGTCATCTAATAAAGCCCGAAGCGAATATTGACACAGCCGCTCCTTGCTTTATCGACGCTTGGGCTCAAGTCCTGATAGTAGCCTGATTTAAAAGGCGTGTCACAAAATCAAAATTCACAATGACAGAGATAGTAGTCGTTGGCAATAACACCATCATACGCATATAACAAATTGTGTATCAACACAGCTGTCCATGAACCATCGGGGTATTTAGACGTTTATGTAAAGAATCGACTAAGACAAAATACAGTATCCATAAGGTACGTTTTGCATTGGTAGATCAATCAGGGTTAATTAAAATCCCACTTATTAAGTTGCAATGCGTCGACATCCTTGGTCAACTGGTGTTTCTTTTGACAGGACGAAACGCGTGGAGGTACGTAATTAGACGACTGGAGTAACTTTGCTGGACCCTAGCCTGAATGACTGTGGCCTGTATGATTAGTGGTTAACGAAGGTTCGTTAAGTCTTATTGCACCAGTAGCATTAAGACCATTGAATTCTAGCAAAAAAAGTCTACAGCATGTCGCAAATTCTTAAGGACACGCAGTAAAGCACTGAACAAAGTATTGGATGATTGCACTAGCCGTAAGCCCCCAAAAGATTTTTACAGCGGTGCCGATGATAAAGGGTAGAATTCTCTGAGAGCTGTCCTAATAGAATTTGTAGATGTGCTACGCATATTGTTTTTGACGCACCCAAAAGAGCGCCTTCATGCTCGTTAGCCATGTGATATCAATATGGTTTACGGTAACGTGTGGTCTTCCGTTTCCAGAACTATCGATTTGTTATTATATGTAGGTGTCGGGTACTTTAAGCGTTTCCGTAAACCTAGAACACTCCTTAAGTAAGTTAGGTCGAAAGCGTACACTTGCACCTAAAAAGTACCATTTGTTTAACCTGTTTCGCACAAAGTATGCAGTTTGGTAACACAAAGGAAATCGAAAAAAGGCAGAAGCGAGGCGTAGTAATTCAATCTGTACTAAAGTTGTGAATGGCTGTTCGCCAATAATAAAAAAAGCCCTTTATTAATCACCCATTCGCAAGGCTAATGGGAACAACTGCTGGCTTTGCCAGACTCAAAGCATCGTATATCTTATTGAAATTCAGTACAGACACTTGTTATACATGAATTTCCACGGTGGAAATGCCCGCATCAATTTAGCTTCAATAAAATGGGTCCGGTCGGGCCTTTACCTCCCTTTCCAGATAACCATATTTGCATTTGTTCTGTTCCAATTGTATCTTAGAATCTTAAACGTCTTGCCTCTGATTAAGAGTGCGTGCTGGCTTTCAAACACTTCTACAGGTAGTACACTTGAGTTGAAACTAAAAAACAGAACCGAAACTAGACGACTGTAAGCTGAGTATTGCACTACTGCCTCCTATGCTGTTACGTACGGGCTCTCTATAAACCATTAGCTGTCTTCGCTAGTTATTGAACTACGAGCGTTTCTGTTGAATGTAAACTTTGGCAAACATATTTGCCTTCAAATATCCGGGGAGGACAAGATCACATTATGTAACTATACAAAGATAATGCCCCCAAAAATAAGTGAGGTTTTGTGTTAACCTCCGATGTCGTGTGTAGTTGAAAAGATAGAGAAATAAAAGAGTTACTAAATATCAAACTTTGATATTAGCCTGTACACCCTTTATGTACGTTGGACGAGGCAATTTCATGCTCTATTCCATTCTTGCGTGAAGTAAAGCCCTAACAAGGTAAGTCTCTTAAATTAACTCTGGTGAAGTACAAAAACTATCACAGCTAAAAATCAGCTTCACAGCGAATTCTCAAGAAACTAGCCGATTAAATACCTAGAGCGTGTTCTGTAATATATAATTCGCAAGGATAACGGATTAGACGCTTATGGTGTTGTCAAAGAGTTGTACCCTACTGTTCTGGCTGACCTCGATTCCGTCTGAAATGATCGGGAACATTCATGTATAGATAACGGCCCTGACGACAGAGCGGCTTGCAACGGCTGACCGTCCAGTTTCTGTTGCCGGCAGGTGGTTTCAACGAGCTCCATCCAGGACCTTTATGAATACAATGGGAGGAGCCACTGTGCGGATATACAGTGTTGTGCACTCGTTTAGGTAATGGACATCGACGGACAGCTATGCCTTTTTGCTGGACAGTTGGACAAAATCACCGGATCAGGACCCTTGAGGAACTGCGGAGCGAACAAAAGAAACCAATAAACGGAATACTATATATATCCGCCTGCTATACTGGCTATTGCCGTCAGTCTTTTGCTCGAAGGTGACACCGTCTTGCTTTGCTATTGCAAGATGGACGTGAACGATGTTTGTAGTGCGACAGCTAGCGAAACGTCTACATCATCCATTATGAAAGAAGACAAGTGGTAATGGAATATCGAAAATGGCAAAGTACTACATGGTTTTTTACTTTGTTTGTACAAGTCATTTAACAAGAGATACAATAGAAAATATTATATAGTAGTTGGTCACATCGTACTTTGTGAGTCTGCCTCTGATGTCTCTCTACTTACCTGAAACGATGTGAAGAGCTGATCAATGTAAAGCCAGTAAAGTTCGTACAGCGGCGTAACGGCTGCAATTGACATCACCATAAGGATTATGTGATGCGCTCCAAACAATGGAACTAAGACTAAGGTCGACTTGAACCATTTGCTATACAATGGCGATGATAAGTAATGAAGATTACGACGGAGGAGGCGGTTCCGCACGATGAAAGGAGGGTAAAACCAAGAAACCCAGAAAACAAACACCAAAACGAGAAGCGATTTTTAATTTATTAGAGTTTCACGTACACTGAGTAGCCAGCGACTTGAGAACTGGCCTTATTATTGATAACGTTATTTCCCGTGTTTTGTACAGCCTGCTTATTTAATTTGAATTTTTGGTTGGTTCTTTGAAGCTTCAATTGTTGGATAGTTTCAGTTGCCCTCTTGTGTTTCCTATTGGTAACATTAACCTCATTTTTTTAACAACAATCCGGAATAGGTGAGTTCTGATTCAACAACAAATATTTCCTTTACTCGCCAGTTTGACACTGCCCTACAATGAAGTTAAATTGGGGTAGCTGCCCCAATCCTTACCGGTATTTCACGCGCCGCGCTTCAGGCTCGTGCGAATTCGACATCTTGATGAACACAACGCGAGTAATATTGATAAAGAAAATAAAGTTGAGCTGAAATTAGTACGAGAAAACAAAAAGAAAAATAAGTTAGCATAGAAATTCATACACTGCAATATTAGCAAAGTCATTTTGTTTCAAACGGCAGCTGTGTTACTGGGTCGGTAGAACTGTGGTCTATAAATAATTGTTCCTTGTTCAATGCCCGTTTTGTGCAGTCTCTGTACAATATACGTGATCCTTAACGGATATCTTCTGCGCATATCCAATATATATATAATATAGCTTATGTTCTTCGTCTAGCTCCTTAATTCTAGCAGTTTGTTATCTTAGCTTCTGAATATGGACGCGACACATTGCCCCAGATACGTCGTCAAGCCTGCACACATGAAGCGACCGGACGTGCCCGGTCGCGGGACCTAAACGAAATCACTTTGGAATCTTTTGGCAGAAACAGGGTTACATGTGTCTGCAACTGAGTGAAAAACAGGGTAGCAACCAGTACACTATTTTGCGATACTGGCTGTCGTCGCTCGTGTGGATACCCACAATGTCTCGTGGACTGATCTAAGACGACCATAATCGACGTAAGATGACTATTATTATCTTTCTTCTTACTCAGTGCCTATTAATCGCTCTTTTTACGTTTAATATGAACCATTCTTAAATCGTGCTTTGAATCTTGCCGTTGTCCATTTAGAAAATTCGAGTCAACATTAGCTGAACGCAAAAGACACCTCTCATTGCTTATAGTGACCAATAACGAAGTCGATTTTCGGCTTCATTTTCTGTCGATAGTCGCTTTTAATCAAAAGAAAGTACTAATACATAGTTTTTCCATTTCAAAAGCCGTATAATTCACTCTTCAGATATTTCCGAATAGAGAAGCACACGGTTTTTATTTGTCTGTGCCTCTACGACTATAAAGGACGGGTTTCAATCGAAATGTTTTGCCATCATATATATATGTGGGTAAAGCTGTGACGTTGTTGAGAATTTTGTCAGAGTTAGCCTCAACAATTATGGCTTTACAGTCAGTTTCTCGAATTGACGATATATTTATTGCTATTTTTAGCATTATTGTTGCATTATTGCATGCTGCGTTAAAACTTTGTGTTTTCCGTGAATATTTTAGCAATTTTTTTTTCCAATAAGCAGCACCTGCCAACTGGGTATGTACAATCTACGAATGGACGTGTGCATGAGCTACGGTTACCTTATTGCCAAGTGTGTTGTTAATTCGATGGTACCATGCATATCATCCCGCCCGCAACACTCTCTGCTCGCACGACCACTTTCAGACTATGTCACGCTTAATAGGCTTCAGACAGGAGATATTTTTACTTAATTGCCGTGCCAAGTAGCTGAAAATATATTCATCTCTCTAGAAGTTTTTGCTCGCTAGTCACGCCAGAGGTATCATAAGCCCCTGTGCTATCTATATAAAATCTACGATACGACATCTATGGCTAGAAGCAATTTTTATTCGTTTAAGGTACCTCTGGTCACCGTTATTCGTTGGTGCACTGAGTAACGATTGTATTTCTTTGCACTAGGGATGTGTAATTGCAACTTCGAGTAACTATCCCAGTTCGAAGTTTAGCTTGTATAGAAGTCTATTAATAATACTTAATTAATAATAAAGTTAGCCGACAGATTTTCAGTTAGGTATCTACTTTACCATTTGAAGCTATTTTTTTTTTTTTTTAACTAACCACTATACTAAGAGTGATGGGCCCTCGTAGCAGCCATTGGATCAGCTTTGCGTCTGACGTCCAACACCTGCAAAATCAACGACGGTTATGCCAGTCATGAAATCTAAAACGGATGCAAACTGGTACATAATTACAAATTGATATGTATGACAACGAATCGATAAAACACTACTAGCATGAGCTTCGGCGGTAAGGGCGGACTAGGTAGGTAACGGAGAAACACAGTGGCTTTTGTCATTCTGCAGTTCAGACGTCAGTATCAAACAGTCGATCGTCGTATAGAGACTAAGTGCTAATTTGGTAACTAATCGGTAGCAGGCTTTTTTTTCTCTTTACCATCTGAATTCCACTTAGAGCCGCAGAGGACACAGACTCTAAACAAATGTATACCTTATGCGACAGTTTTTTGTTTTTGTGTTTCAACGATTGATCGGAAATGCTATTTTCTGATCAGAACACTTGACCTTTATATTTCGATAAAAAATAATACACATTAACTTATATTATTTTTGTGTAACTTCTCGAACGAGAGAAAGCGGGAGGAAATTAATAGGTGTGTTTCCCACAACTATAATCGACGTAACAGTTAAGGATTATGAGGGTTACTATTGGTAGACTGTAGCGATTCCGTAATAGTAAATTACGCTTTATGGCACTGTATACCACTAGCGATAAGATAACGTTACCTATTTACACACACACACACACACACACACACGCTGTAATTTATTACGAAAATTTAAAAAGCCATTAAAGAACTATTTGGTTCGTAACAAAGAACGCTTTATTAGAAAATATGACCAATAGGCTTGACAATCTATTTTGTCATAGATTAAATAAAATAGAGCCATAAAAAATAGATAGCCAAAATAGAGCCAAAAATACAGCCATCTTCTATGCCCAAATGAGATTTTTTCCATAAACCAAGCGGAGTTACAAATACACAACTACACTATTTGTACACGGTCGCTCGATCAACTCCGCGCTTTTCCGTCTCTTGAAACAGATGTTTCAGTAGTTTTGGTAAATGTAGACTTGATAAAAAAATTTCGCAAAATTAGATGTTGGCCTAATAGCAATTGAAAGAGTTTCAAAATTGCCAGGGTTCCAAGCTGCCAAAAGGTTGCAAAAGGATGCAGGAAAGACAAACATCAACTATCATCCAACATTTACTTGCTGAATAAACCCTACCAATTTTCGTTTTTGGCAGAGAACGATTATTTACGTTATTGCGTACTTTTATTCGAACTCTGAAAAAATTTCTATAATGCAAACCTTTAGTAAGCTTGAAGATCATAAGGTTTCAAAATGAAGTGGTCCAAAAAGCTATTTTCAATACACGTGAATTTTTGATACGCAAAACGAGCATTTTGTTAAGAAAAATAGCGGGTGTCCTCCAAATAAGTTCTAATGGTTGGTTAACCTTTTCGAAATCCTTTGCGCCTTGTTGCATTTTTCGGACTATTTGGCCGCTTTTGAACTTTGTTTTTTTTGTATTGTTGACCTGCTATGAGTCAAAAATTTAGTTTTGCGCCAACTTTCAGCGTCGCCACGTTTACCAGTATAGTTTGGCGCACGGTCACGATTAAATGTTATTTGCGAATTAAAAATAATTTCAAAGGATTAGTGAATGGTTTAGGTTTTCAATTGAAGCGGTATTTGCTATGAATAGTGGTTATATTGAAGAAGTATGACTGTCGACAATGACAGTTCGTGTGTATGTATATAAATCTATGGGGTGCAAACGCGAAGCCGTAAAGCCATCGTGTTCGAGTTTTTGAAATGTAAAAACGTCATAACAGTTATACTGTAATAACTCACCAAAGATAGCGTTTATGGGCATTCCGTAAAAGGTCAGCCGAACTGGGACACCAGTCCCACAGAAATTGATTCCGATAGCTTACGCAAACCTAGAATGCTATCGTCCGAGTGGTTGCCCTTTAATTTTCTAGCTTCTTTTTTACCTACTCACGGAGTAAAATCGGACTGTATGGCCGCGTTAAAGCTACGGTTTCAAACGGCCAGTTCTCATTCCGCTTAAGAAAATCAGACTCCCTGACTCCGCTACAATTGAAGCTAGGTCAAAGGATATATATATACATATATATATATATATATATATAGTGTTTGCTATATTCTTCTGAATTCGCTTGTAGCATTGAGAACCGTTGCCGGTCTGCGGTAAGCCGCAAGAAAACATTGACTAACTTTTCGGTGTCTTCTTTAGCAGACTGATACGATCTCCTGTAAATGACACGGCGCCCCGATTGAAACAAAGATGAAGTTTGTGCTTTGTAATTATTAAAAATAAGTGTGCGTTACACGAGGCAAAAATTACAGACATATTTTAGGTGTTCCGATATGATCCAAATTAAACAAGGTCTTTCCGTCAGGTACCGCTGTTTACTCGTTAGCTTATTAAGATTACCCAAGTCAATACAGACAAATCGCTAATGATTATCAAGAAAAGCAAGATTATGAAGCTTTGCCGCTGTGAAAGTCAATAACTGAGCAAATAGTTTATCTGAGATTAAATACAACGCAGCATGATCAGAAGCGTCACCTATTCGAGACGGCTCACGTTTGCACTTTATTTTTCAGGCCATGATCCCAAAGAGCTTTAGGCAGTATTTGCTATTCACCTGTTTTTGCAGAACGAACAGGCTTTCCCATCCAAACCCATTATTACTGCATTTGGCAAATGACAGTCACCGGTAAGGTCACATAGCTAGACTCATGTGACCTTAACCTAATCCAACGGAAACTATTCACATTTGCATACAAAGGCAATCATTTTTGTGCTATTGACCTAGACAGGACCTTTAATCTGAATGTGTTTACTACGAACAAGGCATGGTCATACGAGTAAAGCTTTCTTTTTCTATTTTTTACATCTCAAAATCAATAAACAGCACTTACGTGTCGTTGCCTACGATATTTCGAGCAATCGCCCATACGATTACGCACGACACAGGCAAACCTAGAGAAAATATAGAACGCATGACTGGTAATGTACTCCAATGTGTATCTGCTAATTTCGTAATGACTATAATTGTTAGGTATTATGAGCGTACTGTTACTTTACTATACGAGTGTTTGAAGCTAACCTTGAGCTAGGTTCGAGTGGTAATGGCAGGACATTTTATGCTGATCGTTAGTTTGCAAACGAAAATTAAAAAAAAGGAGGTAAATATTGTTTGCCAAGTCACTTTTCTCCGTTCGACGTCGGCCGTGTCTTAATTCTAGTGGCAGGTACTGCACAATTACTCTACGATATTCTCTTCAGTAAATATAGTTTAATTATTATTATACTATTAGTTTCTTTTTCAAAAATACCTCACTCTTGATAGAAAACTAATGTTATCTCTACAATAGGGGAGACCGTACTAGGGATGAAAACGAACCTGTGTTCAATATTTGAGAGCCCTATATAGGTGTTTATAATGTAGTTCCACTTGAATTAGTGTACCTAATATTTACAAATATACATACCCCAGCCCATGACAACGTATTTAGCGATACTAGATCCATCTGCGTAGAACGAGTTAAAGATAAGGTTATGCAGGTAAAGACCTTCGACGAGGATCCAGCAGTAATTAGCCATGAGTGAATAGTGAAACAGGCACATCAGCATCCAACACTGTGGAGTCAGCTGCAATGTTACAGCAGAGACATTAAAAAGGGTAAATAATGGAGACTGTCTATCAATCTCATGGTTTAAACCGGCGCCAACGAAATTTAAAAGGATAAGATTACTTTTTGAAACGTATGGTTAGAATATGGATATGAAGACGAGTAGTAGAAACCCATTTCGTAGGGTAGCTCCTTCAGCCTATACTTAAAAATCAATACATCGTTCCTTTATCTGGCTTACCCGACGATCATTTCACTGTTCATGGTTACATGGGCTACCGTTTGCCAGGGATCGTTCAACCGGACTTGTTACCTGGTAAACTCGATCCTAGCCAGTATCGGCTAACCTTGGTAGCTAGGCCGCCCTATACGTAACGGGGTTGCCAGTAAACGTAAAATCTATATGAAAGCTAAAAGCACACTGTTTCCTCGGCTCTCCATAGAATCGCGGCAAAAGCCTATTGTGCTCCTAGTTCTCGAAGTGGCAAGCTAGGACACGTCTTACCAAGATTCTAGATAGCTGAACAGTTGTAATTAGTAGATGAACTGAGATTTTCGAAAAGGGTTAGTAGCCAAGATTTGTTGCGAAGCGACTCAGACTCGCCTACTTGTTGCTGTGAAGACTAAATACAATAGCGCCAACGGCTATTGGACATAAATTGGGAGTGTCTCTTTCTTCTACAAGAAATAAGTGCACTGGAGTTGTAGTTATAGGTTTACTTTTTGTGCTTAAAAAAGATAGAATGTTGTAACCTGTACATAGTGTGGCAAGAATAGTTTGTGAACGGTCTTTAATTCTGGGTTAATAATTAATGGGTTCAAGTCTCCGCGCTTCCGCGTCTCCGCAAGTTCCAGTATCGTACCATTCGTTTGGCACAGGTCTTACAGTATCCACTAAAACCGACATCTGTACTATATGAAAATACGTGCACTGCACGTACAATAGGAAAAGCTTTACTTCAAAGCTTCTAAACTTGATAACAATCTGTGTGTAATAGTTTTGATTTGCTATGATTTTGTAGCTTTCTGTTTCCGCGCAATTATAGGTCGAAGTATTAAAACAATCACATCAGACCCATTTGGGCTTGCCCTAACGTGCCGGTTAACCTCGAACTGCCGTTTCTGTACACGTCAACTCTTTAAAGGAAATAAGTTTGTCGAGTCTGTTTCGAAGTGCTATTAACCCCAACGTAAATGAGTACTTGTTATACCTCAAGATGGCCGTTCTAGTAGTTTCGTTCGACATATTTAGTAGCCATAGCATGGACGATGTTGTAACCAACAGAGGTGAATTTGCACTGATTCCGAAGCCACTATCAAATATTGGACGATAGATTCTTTTGAATCTTTCTTTAAGGAGAACTGTTTTCTTTTATACATGGTGTTCTTGTTAGGTCATCGCAGGAAAACTCGAACGCTGAACATGTACAGCCATATAATTAGCACAACATATACAGTGGATTATTATGACATATCGTAACGGGCGTGAGCCGAACGTTTTTTTCGAGAAAAATTACACTTGATGTACCTGACCTGTCAAAAGCGACCGTATAGTTGAGACAGAATCTAGAGCCGTTTCTATTAATAGGATGGTAACTAAGTATAAACAATGGAAATAGGGAAAAGTGTTGTCTTTCTCTGTTTGTGTACGGAGTGCATTTTAGGTTTCACATAGTGTTACGAACAGCGGCCTGGCCTTGCTTTAGGCAGATACTTTCAAAGTCTGCATTTGACCATGTAGCGGCCCAACCATCGGAACATAGGTAATGAGAGACCGAAAGAAAGCAGTAGATCGGCAATAGGATGAATTTTGAACATAAACGTGTCTAAAATGCAGCTCACTGTAGCTGCTCTGCACAAATGAAGAAATCTTCTTTTACGAGTACTTTTATGAGTACGCCCTCAAATGTCGGTCACGGCAAGAGGGCTACTGATAACTAAAGATTTTGTATTGTGCAATGGATTTGGCAGGTATGCGCCATATGAATGTCCTTTGCACTAGGGTAACGACTGGCCGAATCAGAGCAAAATTACGATGGGAAGCAAAACACATAGCTACCTGAACAGCCTTAATAAAACGCTGAAAAAAAAAAGAATAGTCGGTAAAATACGAAGAAACTCATCATTGTGCTGTCACTAGAATGATTCCTTTGTGTTCCGCATCTTTCGACTGTTAATTGAGTTGAAATATGGTAGGCAGAAACACGGATCGTCGTAGAGTGGAGCGAAGTTAAAGCATTTTTTTTGGAAACAACATTTTTATTCTCTCCACCTCCAATTATCAGCCGCTTAAACAAAGTACGTCACATATTAACATAAGTTCTATTTTAAAGGCTAGTTTTTTTTATTTTTAATTCGATTGAGGTTTTTACGCGCCACTTGCTTGCTTTGTTAGCGATCGATGGCGACGTATGGCTGTAGCTCATCGAAGAAGGCATAGCTTATCGTGGCTAGTGCAGGCTGGAAGTAAAACGTAATCCTAAGTTTGCTGACATGCTGCCCCTAGTTGCACTGCTTAGTTTTTTTTTTCCACTGTAAAAGTTGTTTGATTGTAGCGCGCACAAAGTATTGATATTATTATGCATGATATGTCTGAAGGACAACAACGTTCAAGCTTCAAAGGAAGCGAAAAGTCTATGGTTTCGAACCTTCCAGACTAAAGCCTATTAGAAGAAGAACTTATTTTTCTGTTATTGGAAATAGAAATATTTCATTGATCTCTTTTATATCAGGCATTCCTAACAACGTTCCAAATAATCATCTTTTGCGTAAGTGAGTAGTATGAGCCTCAGTTCGTAAGCTCATTGGCAAGCCTCACCACCTGGGGGGAACAAAAAGCTTTAATCAAGGAAACTATGCCAGTTATACTTAGGGCGTATGGCAAGCCCTAAGTTCTTCCTAAGTTAAGAGCCTTAATTAAGCGAAGACAACAATAGAGACCGGTGATGCACCGTATTTATATCCCTATTCTAATATCAGCTTTGACTTTTGTTTTTTAAGACATTATAGGCAATCTGTCGATGCTAAAAGCGAATGTTTTTGTGCTATTTACATACTGACAGTCAGGACACTTGGGGTTAGGCCGAGAGGGAGCCTCATTTATATATGCCAACAGACAAACAAAGAGTAGGAACTTACTCACATCTTGCAATAACTTTAGCTTTGTTTTTGAGTGCATGATCTGATCATGGGTTTTATCGAAAGCCGCGGTCCTTGGTATTTTGCGCCTTAATAGATCGGCTTAAGCATAAGCCATGCTGATCTGACAGTTCTGGATTCAACATAAATATATATCAAGCTTGTTCAGAATAGACCACACTTGATACAATTGTGTTCGTGTTGAGCGTCAAAATAAAACAGAGGCTTCGTCTGCTAGACAGGCATTCATCACTGCAGGGACACAGAACGAGTCCATCATTTTATTGTAGTAATAATACCAACGTGAGACAAATTTCTTATTTATTTCATTCTAGAACCGGCTTGATATATGAGAACGTCTGCTCGCTTATTTTTTAAGACGTAGAACCTCCAATGTCATGCAAACGCTTATTTATATGTTAGTGCAGAACTACAATAAATAGTTGTATTTTACATAGTTTGCTAAGTGATAACAGTTTTCCTTAGAGCTAGTTAGTAACTTACATCGGAATGCCTCGTTGAACTATGCTTATGGACCAGAACAACAGCCCGAACAATAAACGAAGCAAAAAGATGCAGGTGTATCTTATTGCGTGCGCATCGTAAACGCCTGAAACAAATAAAAGTTACATTATATTACCATAATAGTAGTAGTACGTGGTGCGGCACGTAGCTCAGCTCAGCGTCTTGCTGTCACGCTACCTTTGACGTCCTTCATTTTTGACAGACATGACGATTCCAAAAAAAATCTAACCGCAATTAGACGCTCTTAAATACTTAAAAGGGCCGGTGTGAAATTATTATTTATTAAGAATTTTAACGCTACCATTCCTGATCATCTGCTTGGGTAGTCCTGTACAGCAGCACAAACGCGTTCGATTGGGATAGAATTAGTATAACACAGAAATAACTGATTCGCTTAAAGAGGATCAGACATACTTTACGGACGTCATTTCTGATCTCAAGAACTGCGGCATACAAGCGCTTTATGGTTGGTCTGCGTCACAAAATGTTGCTTCCAGTATCATCTAACCCGACAGGTCGATGATTCGATTGGAGCGCCAGATTCGAGTGTAGTGCAACCGGATTCTCTAAGTCATATGAAAAATGAACATAGGCCTAGAAAAAGTGCTTAGGATTTTTTATTAAAAAAAAAAAAAAATTTTTCCACTTTCTCTCACGTGTTGTTCACTTCTAATATACGGTTCGAAAGTAATTTTCCGACTCGACCAGGGTGCAATTTAAACTCAATTCAGTTTTGCAGAAACGGATGTTCCAGGTGGAAACAGGTGACAACTTCCGGATCATGCGTTTCATAGGGCTAGCGAAATAGCCCGCGGCATTTTACTTCTGCACCGTAACAACTCTGTCGCTGAAAAGACTGCTCACGAACAGTTTGCCAAGTTTGAAAATGATATCCGGGATCTAGAAGATGCCGCCCGCTCTGGGTGACCGTCTGAGTTTGATGGTGACCATTTAGACCGGCATGGGGCATTATGCGGGCACAATCATTTATTTCTGCACAAAATTGTCACCAGTAGTATTGAGAAGCGATGTCTATATGTTAACACTAACCACGAACCGGTTTAGGAGAGAAGCCAAAGTCCAGGGTCCAGTAAGATATTCATCCAAAAAAATTATACGTTCCCTTTGGTACGCCTGCAAGGATCTGATTCACTAGAAACAGCCTCCTACAAACCCAACAGTTAATCGGTATATTTATCTGGCCCAGTGGCATTACATCAAGCAAGCTATTGAAAAGAAGAGGCCCGGCCTGGCTCTACCACACCAGGCCATCCTGTTCCGTTAAAGTAAATCGAACACTACAAACACCTACTTTAAAATGGTAGGCCTATGCTTATGTGAATAATTGTACAAATTAGCTCAGCGTGCTAACATCAGCATAAACTGGAGATTTATGGGCATACGATTATGTTTTTATTGAGAAAGTAATTGTTTTGGTACAGTGCAGAAACTTCTCAGCCTTATGCAAATGGCTTTTATTTGCACAGAACGAGATACTGGTGCAGGTCGGAAATATGTTCCACTAGAAATCATTCAAAAAGCTATTACTGCATGAATTCGCGTAACATTAAGGTAGATATATCTCAGACGAGATGAAGGCCTTGTAACTAAGAACGTTAGTATTAATAAGAACTCGTTAAGTTTGTTGACTAGTTAGTAACTTTGTTATTTCTTATATGCTTTCCTATGTTAAGCTTTATATACGACTAGTTGTTAGTTTATCATGATGTTATGTCATTAAGTCATTTATGATATAGAAAGTTAGTTGTCGATAGCTTAAGGTGAGCTCACTTGTTGCGGCCAACTTACATCAATCCACTTACTAAGTTTTACGAATTAGATCGGCCACCAACTTCAGGTATTGGCTTTAGCTAGCATTTTATTTGCTATGAAAAGTGAACTTCTGTTCGATCCTGTTCGCTACATTAAATCACTGTAATAGAGTTTGATGGGTAGGGATGGAGATATGGTTTAATGATTTCAATTGGTAACCTGCTGTGTACTTTGTACAGATTGCATCCGTCGAATAGCTGATATCGCTCAACTTGCGGCGAAAGTATATAATATATGATAATACAGATCGGCAACAGAGCTCTTCAAAAATTTCAATATTACTAAGGGCCATAGTTCCGAAGAACCAATATAGGATACAGCTTTTCTTGCGCTGTTTGAGGTCTGGGCTATGCTAAGGTAGCACTCGTCGACATGAAGGTAACTTATGCTTTCGTGCAAGCGGGATCGATCAGTTTCTTCTTTCTTGGCTAAAAAAAACAAGCAAAAGCCTGACATCGCCTTTTTTTTGTCTGTCTGAAAGCTGTACCAATGATTCCATACAGCCAACTACGACGATAGGAACTAATTTCCCCCGTTATAATACATGTACCTGAGAGGCGCGACATAGTATGCGTTTTCTAATAGGAGCATTGAAACAACGATGGATTATACACGTGTTATAGAAGAAATGATAAATATATTTATGTAGGATAGAGGCATTATTGCCCCACTAAGTTAATTTTTCCCAGAGCTTATGTACATAGTTTAGTTGGCCAGAAACGATTAAACTCAGTGTTGGTTCGTAACACGTTCTGATTAGATTGATTTGAAATAACAGTGGGCTAATTTTTTGGGTAAAAGCTAAACTGTCTAAAACGTTTGCGTGCCACCTCTGAGTTTTAAGGTTCAGATCCGTGACGCAGTGACGGTGAGAAAGGCAACTGTATAAGGCTAACAAACTCTAAAGCGATAAATGCGCCCAGTAGTTACTTAATACATCCGCCTATAAAAATTCTCTGTAAGTCCTACAGTTTCATTTTTTCTAAATATATCTTCAGGCGCATATTAATGCATCGATTTCTGATCAGAAGCTGTCCACTTTCCTTTTCTCTACCTGTCAAAAGATAGAAATTTGATGGGCAGAGAGTTGCTATAACTAACTATAATTATCGTACATCGGCTGATCTGTATCTCACTTTCAAAAATGCTCTATAAAATCATCTAACTCGTGTTGAAGTATACTGATTATTTTGGTGGGAGGGTCGCAGATGCCCATTTTTCGGCAATTGCGTAGAAATCTTACGCTTGGTTTTATTACAGTGAACTTGAATTAGTAGCCAATTGAAATTAACGTAGGACGATGAAGGACCAAAATATGAGATCTAGCAGATACGAAGCAGCATAAACAGAAGGCAGTTTCTATCTATTGGATGATATGCGCCTCAAATACTTGATTAACAGCAAACCAATAGCGAACCGAACCGAACCATTCTGGAATAAGGAGATTCGAATATCACTACATTGTTACCTTTCTAAGTAAATTTGTATCCGAATCAAAAACAAGAAAAACATAGTGTCTTTTACATACCGAATGAATCTGGCGTGTTATTGCAGTGCCTTGATAACTGGCTGTATGGCTCGTTTATTTCCTACACAGTCTATAAGAAAGATTACTTGTGAATGAAGAAGTCTTTGATCATCTACTACGTCTTGAAGGTACCAGTTCACTTTGTGAAGATCCGTCGTGTGGCACACGTTCCAGGCAAACAGTATAATCATTTGTTCTCGAGCGATCTAACATGTGACCTACCTTCATCTACAAGCAAAAAAAAAAGTAATTTCGAAAGAGATCTTCAATCATACCTACCAGTATTGAGATATATTTCATTGTTACTTATGACAGGACATCGGAAATTTTTAGAAAAGACTGTTTTTTTAAATGATTCGCTTTATCAAGATCATCAATTACGGGTCCATGTTTATTTTCTTTCAAAATCAAAAGCACGTCATCAGCCATCATTACCACAGTTAGTTATCAGTAACTCCATCAGTCACAGATCCATTAGGTTTGAGAAGTGAGTGAATCGCTTGAATGCAGTAGAATTTGGCTGAAGATAGGATACGCGTCAGCGCTCCCAACATCACAACAGAGCGGGACTGGAAGCGTCCTAACCAAGATTTTTATCCTTTACGATTCTCTGAGTTCTCTACTGTAATAGCTGACTTAAATTTGTTCGCCGTGAAAATGGCTTCTCACAACAGCGTGATTTCCCGAGATCGAAAATGCTTTATTTATACAATATTCCGATTTGTGCTATAAACAATACACTGTAGCCCACGGAGCGCAAGGAAAGGATGTAATGCTAATTGATTTACCTTTTTTTAACATCGGAAAGGTGCGTATCGCAAAGTTGTCTCAATCTCAGTCTGATACCTGTTTGAGCAGCAAAACTACGCATATATATATTCACAACCTTAATCACCATTAGCATCCAGTCGAACCCTTCGACAAGCGCAATAGGAATCAACTATTTATATGCTAGGTTAGGTCTAAGATCCCACACACAGGAGCTTTTTTCAACACCGGAAGTGACGTTTGTACATCTGACCGATACGAATAAGAATGTTCGTGTCTGTGGTATGAGGATCTTTTGTACGGGGCAATACTCTTCAGGAGTCGAGTTATTATACATTTAACCACGTTTGTGTTTGTACTATTCTAATAACTTCAAATTTACAGTCAGTAACACACATCGAAGGCTGTAGATCACACAGAGTTTTACTGGCTTGTCGGACCGTCAGATAGGATTGTTGTACCTTAAAAGAAAGCAGATAGAAAAAATACATTCTGTTCTGTGGAAAAATGAAAACGCATGGGCAAGACTAGCCCGTATATAACTGTGACCCTACTATAGTTCGTCATTCACTACAAATTGTTCTTTGCCTAGTGCGTTACGTAAAAAAACGTATACACGAAGCGCAGCAGCATCCCGATGATAGCTTGGCGATGACAGGTTGGCCATGTACTGACCATGGCAAAAGTCTGGCAAAACAACTAACAGAGACAGAGTGCCTGGCAGAAAATCGACAAAACTGGGAAAGAAATAAACTTTAAAGGCGTATAGTAGCACATTGAAACATTTGTCTTCATGATTAATGGTTAAATCGCATACGCTTACACCTCAAAAACAGTATCTGGGCGGTAGTTTACTTCGATGCGGGGTTGTACGCGTTACAAAAATCTTACACTTCTAAATAACGGAGCGAAAAAAACACTTGGTTAAATAGATGCTCAAGGTTCGACCGTTCAACATATTTCAACACATGCCATCACATACCACCTCTCATTTGACAACCTCTTTTATGACTGGCTCATTTTTGTCAAATCTCTATAAATCGTATTTATGTCCGTAGAACAGCGCAGTCGTTACGGTTTGTGGCAATCAGAGAAGGGCCAACTTGCCAGGATACTAATCCTGTAGTAAGGAGGGTATGAAGCAAAGTCGAAGGCACGCACAATTGTAGCAGGTTGCATGACTAGTTTAGAGGTATTGAAGTTTTTTTAAAAGCCTTAAAAAAAGTCTCCGGAATAACCGTTTTGGCCCCAACTAGGAGATCTAGCCTGTTTGGGTCTTACTGAAATGACTTGGGGTTTTTCCAAAAAGCCTATGAAAACGCATGATGATCGTATGCTATCGTAACCATTTGCCGACACTAAAATTTGAATTAGCGATGGCCACATTTTTATGGTTAGCCAGGCTCTCAAAAGGTTGCATATTAGCCACTCACACCACGCCGCTCCGTGTCGGTGGTATGGTTTAAGTGGCAATAAAGATGTTTTTGTCGGTCTCGTTTCGGAAGTTGCTGCCGACCAGATGGCCTTCCCCATATTTGAGGCCTGTGTAATGCAATATGAGTTTCAAGATAGTAGTGGACGTTATAAGCACCTGCTCGGGGCTTCCCTATGAATTCTGCCAGATCTAGCCCAACGCCAGTTTGAATCAGTGGTGCCTAGCATGGAGACGTGGGATGAATTTAAGGCTCGTCTATTCAAGCATTTTCCACAATCACGAAAGGTAGAATACTTCGTATGGACTTCAAAAGATAATGCGAACCTGCATTCGTTCACTCACCAGAAACAATTTCTGTTGGAAAGCGTCGACAATTGCTTGAACCTGAGACTTTCCTTGGTTGCTCCGGTCTGAAAACAATAGCTGATACATCATACTTTGAGAACAGACCTCTTATCTCCAGACTTTGTGGTGCTGTTCTAACACTTGCTTCCTCATGATGTAAAAGTACGGTACGCCACCTTATTTCAATCACACTGCGCGCGTAAAAAGCACATATATATATATATATATATACACTTTTTACGTCTAAAGCGCATATGTATATTTTTGCTTATTGGCTTTAAAGCACACGATGAAATTAGCGAATCTGACAAAGCACTTTACAAAAAGCACAGGTGGCATACGGCAAAAAGGTTTCATTGAACATTACTTTTATTCCATGCTGCCAAAGGAGAAACTGCAGCAGATCACTTCTAAAGTTCCGTAGAAAACAATTACTATGACTATCTTTGTTTTGGCTAGTATTTCAAATGGGAAGATCAATATCTTTTCTCTTGTTTAAGTTGATATTTGGTATTTACGTATGACATAATAGATGTCCAACGTACAATCGGTGGCGTGTTCAGTGTCTATGGACGGAAACTTAAGCTTTATAATCAAACAACTGTGAAACACGCTTTTCGCTAACAGAGTCACGGATACAAGCGACCGAATGTACCTTTACTGCTATAAATAGCTATGTATACACTCCGTCAGATCATCAGACGCTAACTATCTACTGTATAACATTATCAAGTGCATCGTAGGACAAACATTGCAAATAGACTGGGATGCAACTACGTCGCTCGGGTGCTATGTTACTGACATATAGATAGATGAAGCTCTTTTAACCTCTTAGATCTGCAACTATACTTAAGTTCAAAAGCATTCTAAGTTATCGAGTGTGCAGTCTGACGATATCTCTCCTTTTTTGGTGTGAAAAGAGGTAAGTCTATATGGACAACTCGCAAATCTTTGGAAAAACTATTGAGACATAACTGCGACACTCAGATACACGATGGCCAACTTAAATTTCTATTTGGCAAACTTTCGGGAACTATGCACTTCCATTGTTGGAAATATGGTTAAACGTTTCTTCTTTTTTTTTTTTGGTTAACCTGGACTCTCCTGAGCAATCTTATCCATGGGAGGATCCATTTTTGACGGACTCGACAAGTTACCTCAACAGTGGCTTGTTTAGTGCTGCGCTTTCTAATCCCTCTATATCGACCGGACACAGATAGCGTTTCAGTTTATGTACCCAAATATATTTGAAAGCAAAGATTAATACCGAAATATTTCTAGACTATCAAAAAAAAAAACAGAAAGAAGAAAGTTACAGCGTAAGGTGAAAATAACAAATATCTTAACTTACTTGAGCGATGCGAGTAGCGTGAAGGCACCAAGTAGAAGTGCTAGTGATGTGGAGTATCCTACGATCGACATCTGCTTAATCGCAGGCAGATGCACTCGGATTAATCTGTTAAAACGTAAAAATAACAACAAATTATTGTGATGCCAAATGAGAGGATTTGAGTTTGTTTGCCTGCTAAGGACCGATGTATCTGTAGTACCGTCCGTATAAGTCCTTTCTAAGAACAGTGTTCTATACGAAAATAGAATATCTCTCGCCACTCGTGCTTGATACATACTAAACAGCAACACGCATATATTATATTGGGTAATGAAGACCGGGCATACATGTTTCCTTTTGAAAGCTTTTTCCATAGTTCAATTTCCTTATCGTTTATACCGTTCAGAAGTGCTATTCCTGCCCTATCAGCGCTCTATAACGGTATTACGCTGTGAGTGCAATATTAACTCAAACGAATGTCTTATAGGATAGAGGTTTCAGGTGGAGAAACGCGGAAACAAATTTTCAACGCCTTCTATACTATGCATTTCGTCAAGCTAAACCGAAACAGTCCTCGACATTTGCCCTGTATATATTGTAACTGCATTAAAGCGGAAAGAACTTTTTCAAAAGCGTTTCGCCAAGTTTGAAAACGATTTTGGGGATATAGAGGGCGCTCTTCGCCATCACTGATCATCCGAGTGTATTGATTTTCATATGAAGGCAATTTTGAAACACCCTCCGATAAACAATTTGGGAACTGGCCGAAAAAATTCACTGTACCTATATAAGATCATCGTTAACCATCTCAAGTCCCTTGAAGTACTGAAGCTTGAATACAACACGACGATTACGGCTCAACGCTGTACCCCAGCATCTCGCTGGGTATCAAGTGTACCGCAGCTGTAATGGTCGATTTTTGCGTTAAATTATTACAGGTGGTGAGAAGTGGTGTTCGTACGTCGACATGACTTCAACATCACAGATAAGTCCAGCCAAGAAGCCAAAGACCCAAACCCAAATACGTCATTCAGAATAGACTATTCTTTGCGCTCGGTGGAACTATTAGGACCTGAATGACTAGGAACAAACCAACGAGTTAATCGGCACGTATGTCTGGCGCGTCAAGTCAATCAGGCTGTCTCCGAGAAATCCTTGATCAAGCAGGTTAGGTCATTCTGCAACAATGCAGAGATACCGTTAAAACTAACCTCCCAGACTCAAAATGAACGATTTTGTTACAAGCTCTCTATTTTTCATTCCGGCAAATAGCTTTCACCAGCTTATTAGGCAATCACTTTGGTAGCCTTACCTTCAGTACGGATCAACAATTTAAAACGTAAAACTTCTGCGAGATGGCATATAGTATGTGATGAAGAGGTAAACAGAATCGGGTAATACATAGTAGAACAACATACTGTCATAGGAGTAAAAAAATGTGGTGCTTTCTATCAAGTAAAAGAAATCGTCGGAACTCATGATCCGACTGAATACCGTATCGACCTATATTTACCAGTGACCACCGAAGGTCGATACGAAGTCATAGTCATTCCTTTGATTTACACGCGTACACACTGGGCGTTTTTTCAATTTTTTATTAATTTTCCTAATTAAATATAAGAACAGTTTGAATTTCTGTAGTCTGAACGCGGGCCCGTTAGAATAGTTCAGTCATACGTTGTGATTAACTAAAGAAACGATCTGTTGTTACATTGCGCGAACCGCCTCCCCAACGATAGATCATTCATATTCTAGCTAAGCTATTCTATTAGAGCGTCTTAGTTTTTGCAGTTGGGTTGTCACTGTACAGCCATTGACCGTTGCCCCTTGCGGATAACCCACTATCTCGATGTGGAACTGGGTACGCCGATGTAATAGTGCCAACTGTATTTTCATGAAGCTTATGACGTGGGGTAAGAATAGCTTAAGGAAACTTTCACCTGTAAAGTTCTTGCTCATTCGGTGATAGAGCAACTGTAGGGTCCATATTGCAGGCGGAGAAGTTTGTATACAGGTGCCAGCTATACGAGTCACTGGACTGCAGCGAAGTCCACGTGCCGTTTGCGCCGCAGTGTCGCCATGCGAACTCTGTAGGAATGCAAAGACAAACAAAACAAATGTGTTGAAGGACAAACATTGCTAAATATGAGAAGCTGTTATTGGCAAATATTGATTCTACATTATATGTATAGGTCCACGCAATATATGTGAAAATAGATTAGGAATATTGTATGATTTACAACTAACGGGATCGGTTTCATAATAGGCCTGCTATTTACGATACTTCGTGAACGGCTCTTATTGTTAATAATGGTCTCTGTTTAAACAATGCTGGCCTTTGTGCCAACATCTGAGTCACTACGTAGACTACCGCTATCGTTAATATTTCAATTGATGCGCTAGAAGTCCTAGACTCTATTAGCCATACGTCGAAATATTTGCAGTGTTTGTTAAGCTGCTTTGTCAGGTATCGACAACAGGAGTAAGTTGCGCCGGAGGTCATATATAAGATCCTAAACCGATAATTAGCCGAAACAGAATACCTCCATTTTCACAAATCAGCCCAAGCATAGCGTAGCATTGCAGAGTTTCTCCCTCTCTCGGAGCTAAAGTGGTCTTGTTCGTAGAGATTCTACTACGTAAGTAATTTAATAACGTGAGTATCCAAAGCGAACATTTATTACTTAGAGAAACTGACGTTTTTCGGAGACAGACGGAATTCAGTAACTACGATATGTATTTATCCGGAAAGTTTTGCTGGCCGCGCTTACGGCTAGACACTTTCGCTCAGCTGCGGCACATTTGTAGGATAAAATAGAGCTTAAGTTAATTCATAGATTAGACCTATATAGTGCAGGTTGTACGCTGACTTTTACGCAAATCCTATGTTAAATAGCTCTTTTACTTCAATTTCCCAGGACTAGCTTGTCGAAGTTCAGGAACTGGTCATTGTTGAACTGCTGAGGCGAAGAAAACAGTGTTGTCAAACGAAGTCTCACACAGAAGGCATATATGTATATATAGAAATTACGCATGTATTAAATTTACTACTCATACTGTCGGAAAACTGTGTGTATATATATATATATATATATATATATATATATATATATATATATATTTATTACGCAGAACATTAGTTGACAATTGTTTTTTACGCATCGGAACAATTAGTTTCACACATCGCCTTCGAACGTCGCTTCCATGTTTCCTTTTTTTTTATCGAAGCATGACTTTGACCCTAATGAAATGTGCCCTCATACCTCAATAAGCAGAAATGAATGCACAGATACTCATTTCAGTTTGAACTCCGGTAACTTCGGTTTCCGATCGACGTGAGTCAGCAAGCATCAGAGCTCAATATGCCTAACAATGAAAACACTTTGAGATGAGTTAATGTTGTGGGACGATGTTTTATCGTTAAGTATGAAAAACAACAGTAGCACTTTGCCATGCTTGGCTACCGTACAGATCATACAGGCAACTGATATGTAAAACACAATACCTCAACCCAGGTTCCGGATACCACTTTTTGTCCTGGACAAGGTTTGAAATCGAAGAATAAACATATATATA